CGCACGGTTCACATATTGTATCATCAAACTTAACTTTAAGATTAAACTCTTGTTCAAGCTTTTTCTTGACGTAACGCTTATCCTGATGACCCCACCTTTCATGGTATAACTGTAAATGATCGTTTGCTTCTACTATTTTTACTGATGCCCTGTTTTGGGACAAAATTGGACTAATATTTGCCTTATACAATGATCCAAACTTCTCTCGAATACCACTCAACACTGTGATGCCGTTTACCAAAAACGAGCAAGTGGTTACGGTGGATCCGAATTCACTGTTTAAATTTTTATCATGGGCAGCCAATGGTGAAAATAAATTTCTCGAAATTTTCGGAACGTACCAAACATCTTTCAATAAAATATGTTGGTTCTTCCCATTGACAATTGAAGAGACCTTGATAGTACCGCTCCCGATAGCAATCAAACGTTCTTCTCCAGCTGCTTTAATTGTGCGCGGATCTTTAAACTCATCAAACGTACAATACCAATCAGAACGACTAGTTACATGCTTAGTAGGCCCATTATCCACAATCCAATCCTCTGAATTTGGTTCAGTAGCTAAAACTTCATTATCTATTGAGACTAAAGCGACCTGAGACTCTGCAGCATTACTTTCAGCATTACTACTACTATTACTACTACTACGTTTAGGACGACCATCTGCGATCCATTTTCTACAACTTCTCACCCAGTGACCCTTCTTTTGACAGTAATTACAGGTATCTTCTTTCTTAAGTTTCGATACAAAATTGAAATTGTCGGTACCCCTCTTTGTCTGCTTATTTGACTTAACCAACAAGGCTACTTGTTTATCACTATCATTACTTGAAGGCTGTCTTATATTTCGTTCGAAAATAATAATCTGCATGGTTAATTCGTCGAATGTTTTAACCTCATCTTTCGTTAACAGCATCCAACTCGATTTAAAATTCTCAAAACTACTAGGTAAAATATGTAAAATTTTACATACCAATAGTAGATCTGGGAGTGGATTTTCATTCTTAGCTTTTAACCCGTTATTCAGCTCGGTCCATAGACTCTTGAGCTTGGCTACGTGTGTGGAAACATCCTCGCCCGATGTCCAACCAAATGAAAATAGCTCTGTACAAATCTTGAACAGCTGATCTTTGGATGTAGCTTCAAACTGCTGTTTTAACGCCTCCCAAGCATCATGCGCCGTAACCTTGTCCATGATTTTCTGATAAACTGTGTCAGAAACTGTACTTGTAATCATTGACTTGGCATAACTATTAGCTTTTCGATAGAGATCGCTTGTAGCTTTAAATGCTTTTTCTTCATCTCGTGTTGGATTAGCACTAAGCGGAGTCGGTTTCTCTAGCTTCTTATCGATAACATCTAACGCTCCCTCATGATAATCAAGTAAATCACGAATTTTCCTTTTCCAAATTGGCCACTCTGACTCACCAGTCAATGGTTTAATGTGCTTTGCTAAATCCATTCTGCTGCTGATGTGTGGATTTAACAACACTTCACAAATACACAATTCGAAACGGAAAAACACTAAAACGAAGGTCTGCGCCCATAACCTAATATAATTCAACGTTAAACTTTAATGAAAATGATATTATTGATTACAAGATTGAGCGTTATTACATGTGACAGTTACGGTAAAAATTCTAATCTTTTTAAACTATAAAATACGCCGCCTATTATTTTTTATCTAACACTAACTTTAACTGACTTTAACATGACCGTGGATAACAAAGGCCGGATGGCCCGACTGGAACTTGGTAGGTCGCTAGCCAAATGATGCAAAGGCATTAGTTGTTTTTTCGGGTCTAGGACCTTTCGCCCTATGCCCACAACGCCGACACGATATTCTGATGGTCCATATCGGCTAGTATGCACACTACGCCGACGGACACTACGCCGACCGTGCCCACATCGTCGACTGTTCGAAAAACCATGCCCCTCATACTCTGTCCAGTGTATAAGTTTGCATTTCAAAACGTTTAAAAAAATGTCGTAAACCTACAAATAACCTAATATCCAAAGCTGCTTTGTTTCAAACCCCCTCCAGTAAGAATTTTCATGAGCCTGTAGCTCGAAAAAAAATTCTAAACCTAAAATAACTTAACGTCAAAAGCTCTGCATGGTGTTGCACACCGTCCAGCTTCATTAACAAGTGTTGTATGAGTCGACGTTATGGCCAAGTTCGGTTTAGTGTCCCTTGTACACTTGTCGGCGATGTGGGCACGGTCGGCGTAGTGTCCCTAAGTCGACAATATGAATCATTAAAAAATCGTGTCGGCGTTGTGGGCATTCGGCGAAGTGTCCCGGCTCCGTTTTTTCTAATGTTGGAACGGAAATTTTTTGATCCTTTAAGTTGCTCCGGATAGTGCTGCTATTTTTACAGCACCATGGCCGCTAAATAATGAATAGTGGCCTTCAGTTTCTTCTGCTTTAAAATGTATAGCGTTGCAAATACTAATGCAGGTGAGGTCGTATAGTAAGATCCCGTACGGATCGGTGGGATTTTGGGAGATGCCTGTTTTGTCGCTTCATTGCCGAATTTGCTTCACGCTGTTGTGGTGTAATTTTTTCTCGGGCTAGTCTTTGTTTCATTGCTCTACTTTGCCGTTGCTCTATTGTCATTCTCTCTTTAACATCTCGTTTTGGCCGCTTTAGATTCACGTTGTCCCACGGTAATTTTTTTCGTACAACTTGTTTCTTTACGGCGCGGCGCGCGGCGTCAGCTTTGCGTTGTTCACTCGCTCTCCGTTGGCTTCTAATCCTTTCATTTTCCGTTGCAGTTTTTCGCTGCCTTGGTTTCCGTCTAGTTGGCATACTGCGTGATTCCTCAGATTGTTGAAGCTCTACTTCAAGACGCATTCTTTTATTATCACTAGGCCATTTTTGTACACTACAATAATTAAATCTTTGATGTTTATTTTAACTTCATTGTGATGCCATTTCTATTGCAATTGTAAAGCGTATTGCGCCACTGACGGTCATCTGCAGCATATGCAACGCGTGTTTGTGCTATGTACAACGTGAAGTATATCGTACAGGCGTCCCCACCACAAGTCACAACATCAATGCACCACTCCGCGACCCGGACAATATGATGTCCATAAGTCCGTTACATAAGCAATAGTGAAAATATTCGTAATCCTTGGCATAATTCGCTAAACTATTGCGAACTAATTAGGAGCTTACTTAACAGTCCTACATAATAGCACAGATCTAAACACTCTAAATCTGTGATAATAGTCACTTACGTAACGAAGCATTGTGAAGTTGTTATGATAACTATATTTTCGACCGCCATAAAAGGTAGTTATTATGCTTGAGTTGCATATAGGTATAACCGAGGGTATAACAGCAGTGGCAGTTCTACCGTTGAGTGAAGAATAGAGGAAGAGGCGCAACGCCTGTACTTGAAATCGTGCCGAAGTAGGCGTCCGAGATTTACACAGCGCCTTTGAATATATTTTATATTCAAAGACAGCGCTTATGGAATCTCGTATGCCCGACGACAAGTTGCGACTCGGCGTTCCAGTACGTTGGATAGAGATAGAAGAAACCACTATGGAGGTTGCGCCTCTTCCTATATTCTCACTCAACGGTTCTACACTTTCATTCGATATATCATGCTATCAGAGACCAAGGTTAGTGGAGAGAGTAGGTTGCCTCGTAACTTTAGAGAGACGCGTCATCGAGAATCCGGAAGTCATATTTGATTGGTGTTTAAATTTTCGTTGACTTTGACAGTTACATTTGAACTGTGTAAGTACTTATAATTGTCAGACAGTGCTGAAGAATCAATTACGAATACTTATTTTAATTCCATTGAATACTTACTGTTACTTAAGTAGGTATCAATATAGGGTATTAGATGCCGGATGGAAATCTTTGTGACGTTGTTATATGCAATAGCAGCTGGAACAAATCGAAAGCAAATGGATCGCAGATTCAGTTTTTGCTTTTCCAAAAGGTAATTCCTGTATTACAAAAAGAATGGGTTATAAAGTGCAATGGAAAGGGGAACCTGAACCCGTATGCAATAGACTGTGCAGTCTGCATTCCCGACCGAAGACTATGAAGATGAATTAATGTAAGCTGTTTTGAATAAAGTGCGTTTAATATTTCGCTAGCATGTTTCTTTCTATGCAATGCATAACCATGTAAATTGTAAAGTACCATTTGGATCCATTTTGCATTTTTTGAACTTGCTCTGTTGTTGTTGCCGTTAATAATTAATTTTTATGATGTGGACAAAATGGGATTCTGGGTGACGTCATTCGCGTATTTTAATACTGAACGTTTATTGGCTGAAAGTTATGAGGCAACCTACTTTCTCTATTAACCTTGATCATAGACTATGTTATAATTATAATAAAGATACCCGTGAAATGTGGATAGTAAAATGGCAATTACAGCATATAGGTTCACAATTATGTTATTTACAATCCACGCATAGGTACACGGTTTTAATAGTTCCAAAAAAGTTATTAAAAATCATTTCCTTATCCGTACGCTGCCTCGCCATGCAGTGGAACTCATTACTTCCCTAAAATAGTAATAGAATAGCAAACCGGACAGATTTAATATTAATCGTGAAAAATTCAAAGGAATGGCACCTTGAAGTATTTTCATCAGACAAACAATTAAAACATTCAATAGAGGACAATTATTAATCAGACGAGTAGAATTTCCCACTATTATTCAGCTCTTTGATGAAAGGATCAAAATCTGTGCTAATTGGCGCTATTGTATCTGTAACGTAGAAAGTCAAAGGGAAGCGTAATGAAACGAATTTGAAATGAGAAACGTTAAGTAAAGTAGGTAAAAGCTTTCATGTTACCCTAGTGACACTTAAATCTTGAAATAATTAAATATGAAGTTTAACGCATAGGGGGTTTTGTTATAATTATTTTAACATGTCGCCGTGCCGTCTATAAGTTAATTAAGTTATTAAAGTTTCTGACAAAATTTATTGCTTATGTACACTACAAGGTCATATATCTGGTACTTACATATATTCATACAAGGATTCGTTGGTGTCGCCATCCGGCCAAGCTCCGTAGCAAATAATTCGTTGTTGTTCTTCACTATATTGTTCCACATAGGTTGTGTAATAGAATAGAGAAGGACTTGAGATCGCGATTCCCAGTAACCAAGTACTCATTGCCAAACACAATGTTACTGTTCTGCCCATCCGAGGTCGCAATGGTGTCATGATCGCCATATACCTAAACGAAATAATACATTATTGACTTTATTTGTATTGTATTACTAAAGGGAACAAGCCACAAGTTCTTTCACAGCAAGACTTCTGATATCTGTAGTTAGAATTACAAACAAATAACTGTTTCATTTTTAGAGAAATATAAAAGACATCCATTTCAAATAACGTATTTGATTTAAACAATGAAATCCAATATACAAACATCTAAAAACCGCTCAATCGTGTTTAAGAGAATCTAACTGTTACGTCACGTTAAGCCCCCCAGGGGCCCCAGGTACGAGCATGAAATTGATAAAAATGGCTGGAGGACAAATTTGCCCAAGAAACCCTAAATATTCCACAATCTTGATAGAAAGTTTACATAATTTCGTCGAAATGTGAGGTTATATGTTACAGCATATTTCATGATTACTTTTGGGCGCGGACCCACATGGCCCCATGCCAAATCCGACCCTGGTTGTGGATACAACTTCGTCTTTAATTTGTACGTTCCATTTCTTTTTACTAATTCTGAGAATTTCCCTTTTTTAGTAAAAAATGGTTTAATGTATAAATTGTTTAAACAATGAAAATCTAATTTGGGTACAAATTAGTTTTTAATTCATAGTTTTTGATGCGACTAATAAATTTTCAATCGGAAAAAGTGGAGGTGCTAACTGGATCTCTAGTTACCACCACCCTCCTAGAATCGGTTTTCCGGTGGGACCAAGCGGGTACAGTTTTAATTTTGTGGGTACAAATTAGTCTTTAATTAGTCCTAAATTATAGGCATATTTTTACTTGATTTCGGCAAAGTGGGGGTGCCTGGGGGGGTGCCAACTTTATCGACCTTAAGTGAAGTATATTCTTAATAGATTAGGACCTGGAAATCGGCGACATTAGATTTTATACTTTTAATCGGATCCGAATCTTTTGAGTTTTAAAACGGAATTTTTATCAGCACATAAAACTGCAAAAGTTTCCCAATGTAAACTAATATCTATCTCCAAGAGAAATAAAGTTACCCAATCCCACCTGGGACAGCCTGTGTAGATTAAAATTTTTCATCCGAAAATTTCAATAAAATTATTTATTGCTTGGTGCCATTTTCAAAAGTACTCCGTCTACTCTCCCTAGTTTTCTGTTAACTCCGGCTCACAAGCAACAAAGTCAAGGGTAATTGTGCGCACATTTGTTATTGAACCCTTTCCAGTTACTTGATTATTTACAAAGAATATACGGGGCAGGTTCAATAAATACACGTTCGAGCGTTGAATTGACAATTGTTAGATATTAATTGACAATAGTTAGATAATAACTGACAATTGTTAGATACTAATTGACAATTGTCAGATAAGAACTGACAATTGTTAGATAAGATTTAAAAGATCTTGGCCCCACAGCGCTTTCGTAGTAGACACCTACATTACTGACGACCGTCTTATGTAACTTTCTGCGGTTATAGCAAAACTAACATTCGTGCTACAGCGTTCGAACGTGTATTTATTGAACATGCCTCGTAAATAACTTCCGTTGTGTTATCAATTAATTATAATTTCGATTTGATGCAAAAACAAAAGTTTACGTTTCGCAGTGTTCAGTTTGTACCTTCAACCGTTGAGTGAAGGATAGATCCTTCACTCAACGCTTCAACTGAATACAAAGTAAAGCTAAAACACCAATAAACCACAATATTTTAATCAAATCCGCGCTTC